ATTCCTTATCCACAAAGCTAATAGCTCAAAAACTGATCTGGTTACCCTACTTTTCTAATGTAATAAATTGTTCAACTTACAGCAAAAGCAGAATGTATGTGCGAATATTTAAAAAAATTGTGGAGTGGAATTCCTCCAACTTGGAAATTTCAATTTTTTAAATTTATGCAAAATCTACTCCACAGAATTGTTCATAATTTAACCTGTTTCTTCTTCTGTGTGTAATAAAAAGATTTTGAAAAAAAAAATATGGGGTCACTGGCTTAATTTTTTAGACAGATGCAATTGATGGTAAAAAGTGGGTAACTTTGTTGCCATGCAACAGAACAGTGCAAACTTAATTTATGACTTAAACACAATGAAAGATACAGTAGAGAGTTACCTAAAAAAACTAGCACAGCCATTTAAAACAGTACAGTTCCAAGCCTAGTCCAAGAGAAGGGCTAAAATTGGTAATGTCAGATGCCAGCATATGATAAAGTCTGCATATGAGTCAAGTGGCCCATCAGGCCAGCACCTACATGTACCTTGGGTTTCTGTAGCATAAAGAGACTAGGAGGATTCCTTCTCCACCCTGGATGGGATGCTAGCCCATTGCATGGTTAACCCCCAGCATTAAATTTAACTGCCAGAACTAATTTATACACAATGTTCACCTGGGTGGAGAGAGGCACCGTGAGAGTAAAATGTCTTGCTCAAGAACACAACACAATTTTCCCAGTCAGGGCTATAACCTGGGCCAGGTTGTTCAAAGCCCGATTAAGTCAACCCAGGATTACATGTAGCAAGAATTTTGATTTCAGTTTTGAGACTTTTCGCTGAGGTTTTCAGTTTACACTGTTGGCCCTTCTGTTTTTAGTTTGAATGATCCCAAACTACTCAAAACATAAGCAGTAAAAAACATTTTAATACAAAAAAAAAATTAATATTTTGGTTAACTTTTAATTCTGGGTCAGTGCTAACTGGTTTTCAAACAACCTGGCCCTGGACTACTCAATCCAGGGTCTAGTGCACTAACCACATGGTAACCATGCCTTCCTAAAGTATATGGAAAACAATATAATTATTTACCTGGTCAGTCAAGGTGACTGCTTTGGCTTCTTGTAGTTAAAAATGCTGCATTTAGACACTGAATCCATCAACAATTCTAAAGCTC